GCACTATTTCGTCTCTAGAAAAGGCCTTTTTTGGCATTTTTTTCGCCGAAATTCGGCACTAGAGTGCAATAATTAGCATTATGCACGCAAGTTGGATGCCTCGTGGACGTCGAGAAAGCATTAGAAGTAAAATTATTTTTGTTGTGTATTCGTGACATTCCGTCAGGTGGCGTAGTCACAGCGACCGGTTGGTGTTTTTCGTGTATGAAATGTGTTCAGACAATTTTGCAGAAATTCGCATCATAGAGCTGGCAAAAGTTTCGAGGGGAGCATAGAGCATGAATCTGTAGTTATTTAACATGAATAAAGTGTATGTTTTGTAAGTGCAGTAACAGTGTGAGTATTTTTAATTAATTTCTGTTCGATGCTTATTCAGGCCTGCAGCCTATGGACGGCCTCTAATGTTGTTGGTGTTGGCAGAAAGATGCGATATGATATATAACTACTAGGCACTTTAATTTAATTTAATTTTTTTTTTTTTAGGGTTAGGGTTAGGGTTAGGGTTAGGGTTTTTTTTTTAAGTGCCTAGTAGTCATTTCCTAAGTGCCTAGTAGTCATATCATATCGCATCTATCTGCCGGGTGCACTGTTGTTCAACACCTTAAGGCCCTGCTTGCCAAATAACATCAGGCAGCTTACTGTCAGTGCTGACATCTGTTGGGGTTTAGAGTCAACAATGCGAAATGCCAATGTCAAATGTGTTGCTACGAGACCACCAACCCCTAGAAACATACTGAAAAATTCAGTATTACCCATGAAAGAATTGAAAAATAATGATAGAATTGTAAGAATTGTAAATAAATGGAATACAGTAGTCAGCCATCTGAGGGATATTCAGGGTGCGTCACTTAATAGGCAGAGATCTCTTGATCTGGCTGACTTCTATTTCCTACCTCGATTGGCTTTGTTCATGCTGCACCTTGTGTGCTCGGACTCTCTCATCGCTACCGCCACTCTGCGTCCTCGCGCGCGGGTCGGCGTTGCTACGGCGACAGCGCCACACAAACCGAAGCCGACTCCATACGCCGATGCACATCGCCGACAGCTGCCGGTCATGCATGCGCTTTCCCAGCTTCCACTGTCGTCTGCGCAGTGAACAACAACGTTTGAGCTGACGCACGGCTGCACCACGCGATAGGGGGCGCCGCCGTCGACTAAGGTAGACTGCCTAGTGGGTTAGTACACGAAGTTACGGTTGTTTCGGAAAGTCCAAAAACCCAGCCAGTCCCGATTTTTGTTCTCTACTATATATAACGCATATTAAAATCCAGAAAAATTCCTCCAGTTCTGCTCAAAGGCTAGTGGTACCAGAATGAGAAGGATACATGTGAGTAATTAATGAGAACTTCATGTGCAGATTCATCATGAAATAAAATTACTCTCATATGAAATGCGGGCGTGCATCACAGAGACATACCTGACGATATCTCTGGCCTGTCGTAGCTTCCACTGCTGCATGCAGCTGATTGCCAGGTAAACCATACACCTTGCACACGTCACGTCGTCGCCCATCTCCACGGCAATGCGGAGCTGCCTCATTGAAAGCTGTCCAGCAATCACAGCCTGAAAAGACACACGTGCACATCCGAAGTTACATTCAGTGACATGCAGTGCAGGACAGGGAAGTCGCTTTTTGAAGTTGATGCAGACTTTCATTTAAATATAAAGTAATACCACGCACAAGCAGTAACATTTTTCTTGATGGTTATGGGTATACGTTATGCCTATATATATA